TACTTTGTTTTTAGTGTATTCTCGGATGTGTACGTTCCGATTGTGGCCCAAGCTCCAAGATCGGTTCTGTATATAAACATTATTTTGTTTTGTTTTTATAAGCTCTCCAAATTTAAAATATATTCCACAACGTAATATTTGAAAAACAAAACAAACAAAAAATAAAAAACAAAAAACGAAAAAAAAATATAATAAAATAATTAACACTTTTATGGATTACGTATGTATATGTGTAAGGGTGAATTACATTAGATACTAAGGTATTTTTTTTATTTAATTTTTTTTCTATGAATTTACACAATCCTGTAAAAATAGTTGAAAATAAATATAATTTAGCTAGATATACGCTTATGAAGGCAAATTTGAGAGATTTCGTTATGTTTGATTTACGTCCGTTTTCTATGCAGTTTCAGAAGCAAAACAATTTTATTATTTTCTTATATTAATGTTAGCATATTGAACAATTAATTATTGCATTTATTATTGCTGATCTTGTTTCTTGTCAGGCAACAAAAACCAACGAGAAAAAACAATTCGATCAGGTTATAAAAACAATGAAACAATCGATTAGAGCGAGAGGCAGATATGCGAACTGCGCGGTCTCCATGTAATACGCGGTTGAGGCTGGTCGAAAATATTGCTCAGGGATCTCTATAAATGAAACTTTGTTAACAAGTTTTGGGATTAGAACTTTTTGAATAATGTCATGTTATATATGTATATATAGGAGTCTTTGGTTCAGATTTCGCACACGTTTATGTTATTGCGATAATAGATCATTTTAATCGCAACTCGTATCAAATATGCTTGCCTCAAGCTAGACACACGTTTGCTGGCACCGTTAAAGTGTGAAAGGCATGCATACATTATTATTTGAATGACAGATTACAAAAAAAAGCACGCGATTGTTGACATTGAACGCGGGATGTGTGCAAGTAAAAGGTTATGCATAGAACAATTTAATATTCGATCAGTTGCTTATATGGCAACTATATCCGATTTGGTTGATTCCAACTGAGCGCGAATTTCAAACAGCTTTCCTCTCAAGTCTGGCATCCTTCTTACACTTCAGTCAACGTATGCTTAGTTGCCATATTAAACAACAGATGGCACTAGCTTTAAGCTGCTGATTTGACCTTGCAAAAACCTGTCGCCCAGTTCTTACATCATTACTCAACACATGCAAATGGTAAAATAAAACTGTTCAACATGGAAAGTGTTGGTAAGTATTTTTTTAATGTTTATTTAGCATTTAGCAAGCCCAGGCTTTGGTTTAAACCTTGTCATATATTTTGCAAATTTTCATGAGGCAATCCAATTTTAAAATTATAGTTGCCCATTCTACTGAAAATATTGCAAACCGTATATATTTTCATATAGAAATCGCCGGCTAAATTTACGATACCTACCCAAAATTGGCATCTATCCAATATGGTTAGATAAATCCAATGGTTCGACCCCAAGTTATTTGAGCTCTTAACTTATTTTATTTTAAATGGTTCAGTTCGTCTGCTAATCGTGCAATTGGTTTGGCTGAAGATTTAGTTAAGTAGTATATTATTGGGAATTCTGGGCTCGAAACGGTTTGGCTTAGAACCGGCTTGCGGCCCTAATAGTACCTCCATTAACATTAGTTTATTTAAGAATGTGCTTTTCAATATTCATTTTGTTGGTCAACCCAATACTAAAAATACTTTTAAAAGATCGCGGTTTAGTTTCTTTATTTATTACACGAGTTGATTTTGCTTTCATGTGTTACAATAGTAGTATTTTTCTTGTTTTAATCTTTTTTTTTTTTTTGTAGTGTAGTGTTTTGGATCGCCTGCTAGGTGTGTCTTGTTTCACGACTTAAATGCTAAAACTCTGTATACCACAGTCTCTAAGACGTAAAACGCAAACTGAAATAGTTAAGATGGATTTCTCTTTAAATTCCGATTAAGGGGTAGACGGGTTCTGTTCTTGCGTTGTGTTGTGTATATCTGATATTGTGTGTGTGTGTGTGTGTGGATGTGTGTGTGGGTGTGTGTGTGTGTGTGTGTGTGTGTGTGTGTGTGTGTATGTGTGTGTGTGTGTGTGTATGTGTATGTGTGCGTGTGTTTCGTGTGAGCGCAGAGTCATGAGATTGAAAACGAAAATGAAACATTTAATTCTAAGATCAAAATTAAGATGCGTCGGCCCATTTGTCCTACACGCATTATTATCAATAATAAATAAATTATATAAAAAAAAGAAAAGGGACCTAGCTTAGTTAATGATAATGTTGGTACACTTTTTTTTTGTTTTTGTTGGGCGGCCATCAGTTTACATCCAGAGCTCGCCGCCACAAATCTCAAGGGCCATCTTCTTGCGGAAGTACTCCATGTGCTCCTGGGAGAAGTTGAGCGGCTTATTCCGTGTTATATACTCTGCAAACATGCAGCTAAACACACCGCAGTCACTGCCATTGGTCTGATGGGGCACATTCTGGACATTCTCAATTGAGAAGTCGCTGGTGTCGAACGGCTTCTTGCGTTTGTCCAACGACTCCTCGTGCAAGTAATTCTCTAGGGCGTTCAACACCTCCGAATTTGGCTTGCCCATTGAATCATAATAGCGAATTGTTTTGTTCTTCATGTGGATAATGGCCATGCACCAGTGGACGTTGCTCACATGCACTGGCACCGGAATTATATCTTTGCTGAATATATCAACTTTGCGAGTCCAGCGTTTCACATTGCTATAACCGCCTTGCAGCAGCCGGGGCACAAAGAATGTATTCATAGCATAAACACTTGGCAGTTTTCCCTCCTTGCGTTGCGAGCGATCGGTTAAGAGGTTCATATAGAAATTAATAACCTCGTCGTTCAGCCAGGAACTTCCAGCCAGTGTGCGAATATCATTGCGAGTAATACTCAGGCTGAATTTGGAAATAAGTACCTAGAGATAAAATGAATAAGTGATGCGTATGTGATATAATAAAATGAAAACAAATGAGTTTACCTGGTCGGCCCTGCCATAGACTAGCTCATTATAGCGCTGCTGATGGGCTTCGGTGAATGGAATAAATTCTGGTTCGCTATCCTCCTCTAATGGATACTTCTCCAACACAAACAATGTTTGGGAAATGAAACGTCGTTTGGATAAGCTCTCGCGCAAACCCTGTTCAAAAGCACGACGCTCTTCTGTTGTTCTTTCAGCTCTGTGGAATATTTAATCATTAAGCCTACAAATTTTTGAAAGCATGAGACCGAATGCAATTGGATAATAAGCCAAATAACATTTCCACCCATTATGATATTAAATGTTACCCGCACCTAAGTATGTTTACAGGGTTTATAAACTGATTTGGGCATTCGTCTGAAATACACTAAACTTACTCTTGAATAACCAGTTTCTTTGCATGATTCACCTCCTGTTGCATACGCGCACATTTCTCATTAAAGAGATCTGTATAGTTATCAGCAAAATAGATGGATTTACTGTGGCGCAGCTGCAGCGCCTTAGTCCGGGACATCGACAGCCCGGGTGGTGGCGGCATCATTTGTGTTCTATAAAAGTATAAAATCTTAATTATGATATCGAAAGCTTAAAAAAAATTTAAAGTAATTTTTATAAACTGACAAGGAATTTTTAATAATATTAAAAATGAATTTAAACGGGCAGCTGTTAAGGGGCACTCACTTATTCGCTTGCATTCCGTGATCATCATCAATGATTTCAGTGACCTCGGCCTTGTCCGGCTTTATGTTGGAGGAGCTGCCGCCCAGTCCGTAGCATTGCATGAGAGGTGGCGGCGGCTTCTTGGCCAGTGAGAATGACTGTTGCTGTTGTGGCTTCGAATTGTAATCCAGCAGCTTGGCGTACTCGGAACGGAGGGGCGCACGGGACTCGGGCTTGCTTTTGATTAGACCCCGCAGCCAGTCGCTGCTATTAAGGCTAATAGGCTGCAGTGGCGGCGGAGGCGGTGGCTTCTCATTCTCACGAGCAGCCCCGGAACGGCGAGCACACTCGCGCTCATGCAGAGTCAGATTATTGATCAGATTGACGTACTGATTATGTTCGTTGCGTTGCTCCTCCAACACCATTATATTGTCCCTGCTGACGCCCGAGTCATACAAATTGCTGACATGCCCGTTCAAACGTGCCTCGGATGAGGAGAGGCTACTAGCAGGACGTTGTTGATAGTTTAGATCGGTGACAAAGCCATTTGTGCCGAAACGCACAGCATCGGAGTACAGCAAATTTGGTCTTCTCGCTGCCGATGAGTTGCTTCCAAATTCATCTTGACGAGGCGGGGGCTGCGCGCTTGAGACAAGACGATCGGCAAATGCTTGATACATATTGCTCTCATTATGCTGCGGCTCCTCAGAGTCGGACAGATCAACCGAAATAGTGGCTTGGGTGTTGCGTACACGCACTTGCCGCGTCTGCGGTGTACAGAACATGGAAAGACGCTTGTGTGTCTGGTAGGCATTGTGATTGCTGTTGTTTTCCTGCTCCTTGCGCTGGCTCGCGGTTGCCATGTGGCTGTAATCATCAGCTGCAAAAATAAAAAGTGGCAATCTATTATTATCTAACTATATTTTCATGCTACAATTTTTACTAAAACTTCATTTGGTGTCAAAAGATACTGCGATGGAATTTTTGAAAAATTCGACCTCCTAGTTGGGGAAAACTGACAGTGTGTGGAAAAACCAAGGTCATAGTCGTCAAACTGGATTAATATCTTACAGCTATACATATACTAACTAACTTTATTTGTAACAAACAAATATATGTATTTCCCATAAACATAAATTATTGAAGCGTGCTTTCCATAGCCCCCAACTGTTAGACAAACAAATGAAGTGTTACTCAAAACATTAGGCATGGTGTCTGCCTTCCTCTATACGAGATATAAGCTTCAATCTCTTGACTTTTTCTTTTTCTTGCTGATGTCTCTTTCTACAATGAAATGCTCGAGGAAAAGAAAGATGAGACGGAGATCAAATTACTATAGCCAGGCCCCCAAAGCTGCAATA